TTCTAAATGGTTTTTCTTATACAAGATTTAACAGAAACTAAAAACTAAAACGCATATTCATTCTTCCAATAAAAGTAATCCAAATAAAGAGGGAATTATCCAAAGAAATTTAATTTTTCACGAATTCGTTTCAAAAATAACTTCAATTTGGAAAATATATATTTTTTAAATAAATATTTTTTAAATTTATTTTATATATATATATACATATATATTTTTATATATATATTTTTTATTAAATAATTTAATATATTGGAAAGGGGTTTGCCAAATATAAGTTTTTGTCTTAAATATGTAATGTTGCTAGCCATATTTCTTATCAACAGTGTTTCGGCAACATTTTGTTTTGTGCCTTTGTCACAATGTTGAAGCAACAGAAAATCACAAAGAAAAAAACTCACTCAATTGCGCTCGCCATGAATATTCTCCACGCTCTCTCCTCTTCGTTTTGTTATGAGTGGCAGCGTCTGTTTTGCTTTTGTTTAATTTTGTTGTTTTGTGTTCCGTTATAAAAGCGCCACTCTGCAGTTTTTCTGTTTTTTTTTTTACACTCTCTTTGCGAATTTCTCGTGCATGTGCATGCTTGTGCGTGTGTGTATGAGCGCAACTGTACCGGCGTCTTTTTTCTCGTTCATCTTCTTCCTTTTTTCTTGTTCGAGCTTTTTGTTGTTTTTGCAGCTGCCGTTTATCTTCTTTACACACTTCTTTCTCCGCAACTTCGTTTTATTGTTGTCTGCTTAACACCTCTCGACGCATGTACATATACATACATACATATGTACATGTATGTATGTAAATCCTTTTGGAAATCCACATGCAAAATGTGTCATGCAAAAGGAAAATGCAAAAGAAAAAAAAACAACAAATGCGTAGTTTGCCAACTGCTAAGAGAAGAATGTAAATAAACGGTAAATAAAGGGGTTAAACAATTACGACGCGAATTCTAGCGGCAAACTTTAATATTATTAAAGATTATAAATTAAACTTTATTTTATTCAATTTACAATTATAATATTGATATTATTACACATTATAATTTGTTATAAAAACAGTAAATAGTTTAAAAACAGTTAACTTCGATAACAAAAATGTAGAGCCGCTTAATGGGTTATGAATCAGTTATGGCAAAATACTCCAGACTTGAGCCTCTCAAATAATTAATACTTTTAAATTTGCACACTGCCGTTATCTTATGATACATAAGGCATCCAAAAGGTGGCGCTAAAACAATAAATTATAAAATTGAATGAAATATTGAGATAGCGACATTGTTGCCAAAGAAAAGACTAGTGCGCAATGCAATTACGATTATTCGCGTTATCAATTAGAGACGTTAGTTTCTGGCCTACGAGAAGCATAACTATAGCCCCGGGAACCAACTTTATCGCATACGAATTGCCATTACAGTTAAACCAGGAACACCTGTCGACGGCGGCGTCAACCTTACATTGTTGCTGCACGTGTAGACTGTTAAATATCAAGTCAAATGTCAGATCAAATGCATTATAATATTAAAAAATTTATTTGAATACATACGTATAATTAAATAAAACAAACGTCTGGCACACATAATACTTGGTTTCTGTAATAATGTATGTTAAAAAATTATTTAAAATTTTACTTTTAAGTAATTAATAATTATAGTATAGTAATTCAAATACTTTCATTTATCGATTTTTGAAATTTATCATTATCATTGTCATCTCTAAACGTTTTTAACGATCATGATGTTAGTTTAGCCGGTTACGTTATGTAGATAATTTATAAAAGCTTGGCAAGTTCTTGACAAAACCGGCAGCCACTTGTTGCTATTATTTACGCAGTTAGTTTTTCTCCACTTTCACACTTTTAATTTTCCCTCCCAAACAAAGACGAGACAAAAGTAATATTACAAAAAACTGAGCACGATGCGCAAAAATTTATTGCGCAAAAATAGAGCCACCAAAAAAAGAACAATTTCAAAATTTTGTTAAAATTGAACTCGGTGGCAAGAAAATGCAGGGGCGAAAAAAATGTTCGCAAAATGCGCGCCAATTTTGTTTCTGTCGGTAATGCAGTTTTTCTCTGTAAAAGCTTACTAAGAAAAGGGGTATATCACTTTTTGTATTATTATTTCCAATAACAAATATAACTGTACACTTTACGTTCCCTTAATTGATACATAATTAAGTTAATCAAAAGAATACTAACGCAAAACCGTGTTGTTATTACACATTTATTTATTTATTGTAAATAAACAATTTATTAAAATCATTTAATCATTTACATAGTTAGGGTAGCTTTCAAGTCGAGTTTCCAAAGCACATTTTTGTGCTGTGTCGACTTGTTGCGAAATCAAAACAAAATCCAAAGCGTGCAAAGGTGTGACAGAGAGGGCGAATGCACGCGCCAAAAAGTGCAATGGAAATTGACGGGGAAAAGTGGAAAAAAGGGGAATGTTGTGGAAATGGAAATCAAAGTGAAACGTAACGTAACGAAATCAGCGGGGTGACGAAAGTTGGAAGAACTTTGCGTCGCAACCACCTGATGATTTAATCGGCGGAAAAGGGCTCTAAGTCCTAGCATTTATAAAAATATTTTTTAATATTTGATGCATTTAAAATACATAAAATACAAATAAATTACATAGATTTGTGACTTGCTACTAGCAATCACTGCTCGGTTATGCATATATGTATGTATGTATATGAATGTATCTACATATGTATATATGTATATAACTGTGACACATACAATTTTCAACACACATTCAAAACAACAACTAATTAAGCACGCACATTTTTGTTTTAAGCATAACATTTTTTTCTTTTGCTTTTGCTCTTTGTTCCACAGCTTCTCACCAAATGCAATGAATTGTTCTTCCAAAAAAAATAACACTTTGCACTACATACATACATACATTTGTACACACATACATATGCAACTGTTTCCAAAAGAGCAATTCTTAGTGATGTGTTTTAAGAAGGAAGCAGCGAGAGCAAGTTGTACATGCTTATGTACATACATACATATGTACATATATATGTATGTTGATGAGTTAATGCATTCCGTTTAGTATTATTAGTGTGTGCAAAAAAAAAAAACAAATTGGAAGTGTATGTTTGTAACTGAACCACAATATACACACACATACATATGTACATATGCATATGCATACACAAAAGAGCAAAGGAGTCGAAATTGTACAGCGAACTAGCAAGAAAAATCAAAACATAAGAAAAAGGTTTTTATCTGAGCAGGATAGTTGGTACATACAAAATACATGTTATTGCTATATGATCTAATTAATAAATATTTAATTAATATATGATAAGCATATATTTAATTAATTTTTTGGATTTCCAAACAGAAATACAGAAATTTAACAGAAGATATTATTAGTATTTATAAACATGTAAATGTGCATATATACACACATACATACATACATATGGATGTAGTTCAATATTAAATATCGATAAAGTATTACCAAAATCAAATTATCCCTTCAAAAGATTGTGTCAATAATCGAAGTTTGGTTATTGCTAACCCTTTCCATCTTCATCCTCCACTTTCACCCCTTCTTCTGGTATTCGAAGTTTGTTATTTTTCGGTGGGTGTTTTTTTTATTGTCTTGCCTTTCATTTCAACATTTCATTGGCATAATTTAATTAGACTTGAGGTAGGTTCATGCAACTCATACTCGAAAAAAGGGAATATTTTTTGCCTTCTTGCTTTCTTTCTGTTTTGCGGTTTTTTCTTTGGTATTATTGTATTGTTTTTTTGTCGCCTCAAAGTTCACAAGTTCAATCAAGTTGACAAAACTGAAATTGGAGTTCTCTCATAAGGGGAGCGAGCGGAATGGATGGAGTAATAGAAATAGCAAGAAACAAAACAAAGAGTGAAAAAGAGCTTGAATTGCTAACATACATACATACATATGTGAATACAAATATGCATACATACATACACACACAACAAGAAACTTGTGTAAATAAAGTAAATAGATAATGGCGAGGGGACAAGGAGTTAAAGAACAAGCAGTATAAAAATAAGTCAAAAAAGGGCTAAACACAAACGGGAAAATAAGAAGAGGAACTTTTAAAAGAAGCTAACCAAATTGAAGCAAATAGAAAAGTGAGCTAATTATAAAAGGAAATGCACTTACAAAAGTCTTTTACAAGTACAAAAGGCATAAATCCATATGTACAGTATATTAAGAAACTCTTTAATTACTGAAAATTAATTATCTTAAAAAAATAATAATAATAGAAACATGTACAATGCAGTGTAAAGGCCACATAAATACATACATATGTATGTATGTACTTACATATATGCATATACCTATGCATAACACCTATATGCATAATTAATCTATTTATATTAGTACATAAATGCTATCTAAACAACATATACAGGGTAATGTTTATTATTATGCTTAGACTCATTGCCCCTACGGTATTTCATTATTTTAGGACTATTTACATAAAACTACATACTTTTATATGGAAAACTTAAAACAAAACCTATTTTTATATGTTTTCTGTTTATTATTTGCCAAGTGATGCAATTTCTCCATATTCTCAATTTCACTCATTTTGTACTCAATTTTTTTGTAAACACCACGCAGAGATTTTCTCTCTTTCACTCAACCGGCAAAACCGGCAAGTTGATGTGCTCAACGAAGAGAGCGAAAAACAAGACAGAGAGAAAAACCAAGAAATTGCGAGCGGGTTAACAAAAGACTTAAGTTATTTGAAAAACATCGAGTATAAAAAACGAATTGTGATGAAATAACAAAATGTCATCGAAGAACTTTTCAGAAACCAGGAATTACGTTGCAAAATGCAATAAATTCGGTATTTAAAAGCTTTTAAAAACACAAAACGACTCAAACTAAGCAATTGAGAGAACACATGAGAGATAGGCGGCGGCTGAGAGCGCATTTAACGAGAGCGAGAGAGCGGCTCGGATCCGGCAAGCCGAAAAAATGTTATTTAAGGAACAGTCACAACCGCAAACTATCTAACTTGCTATTTGTGTGGCGTCGCGTGTTCATCGCGAGTACATTTCTCTCTTCGCTCTGTGGATTTGGATTTTTGGCTGTTTTCCGCCCGACAAAAAAACCCAAACACATTTAAATAGTCTTATATAGTAAAAAAAAAAATAAAATTAAACATAAAAAAAGGAAAACCCTGAAGATACATAACTCTACACACACCAATATACCACACACACACCTATAACAACAACAGTAAAGAAAAATAAAATGCCACATAAAAGTTATAAAAGTGCTAAATACGCAGAAATACTCCAAGATCCCTGAATTCAAAAGAAAAACGAAAAAAGTACCGCGTAAAATATATAAATCAATGCAAATGAAAAACAAAAACTTGTGAAAAACTGGAAATATTAAAAAAAAATCTCTAAGAAAAAAAAGCAAGTGAAAAATAAACGGGAAGAATTTTTTTTGGTGTTCCTTATTTTGGTGTTTTTTTTTGCGACCGTTTTGCCCCCTTTTGACGCAAAAAGTGCGCAACAACACTTGTGAGACGGCGGGAACGGGGTAGAAATAGATATAGCCGAAACCGACTGGAAAGCAAAAAAGAAACTAACCAAATTGGATTACAATTAAACTGAATAGAGAGACGGATACGAGAACGCTGTTCAAAGAGGTGAGAGAAAAACATAGTGTATATATATATAAATCGTTTACCGGTATTTAATATTGACTTGAAAATATCGCGCGGCAATTCTAAGAATTTCGGCAAAAAAAACGACAAAACTTGTAATGGTGACTTTGTATATTAATATAAAATAACAAAATCTTAAAATCTTTTGAAAAGTAAATTGATGTGCCTCAACAAGATTTTTAAAATTATCTTGTCTTTTCTTGTGAAATTCTCCAAATTTAATTCTACAAATTTCCATGGCATTTATTTTTGTTTGTTTCGCGACTTGTGAAATTCTATAAATTGCCAGGCAATTATAAAAACATTCTAGAAAACGTTTTTTGACTAAAAATATTTGCAAATTTTAAAAATTTCAAAATCTTTGTTAAAAATTTAATTTTTGTGAGACTTAAAAGGATTTAACGGATATTTTAAATGAAATTTTTAAATTGAAATAAATAATAAGTGACAGAAACCAATACAATTTATGAATTGGAATAATAATTTTTAGTTGAAATTGTGAAAGTTTTAGTAATAAAATAAAGTGTTTTCTCCTTGTTTATTACAAATTTCGAAAATACTTAAATTTGTGTTCTAGATAAATAAAACGATCAGTTACTTAAATTTGTTTTCTAATTAAAAGTAAATTCCAAGAATCCTGTTAGCTTTACCAATTTTTTTTTTTGTTTTTTCACCGTTTAGTTTTTGTTCGTTATTCTCTGAAATGCAACGGATTCTGCTTAAAAGGAAAAGGAGAGAAAACAGCAACAAATAGTAACGCTTACAAAAGCTTAGAGATCAGTATTTATCAGTTGAAGGTCATTATATATATATATTCTTTTTTTTTTTTTTTAAGTAATAAATGCAAAGAGAGAACTGGAATACTCAACCTCCGTTTCAGCTCGTTTAAATTTATTTCTTTAAATATACTCGTATATATACTTATTTATATTATAGCTGTTGTCAAGAGCAGATATTCGCGGTTTTTGGGGGCAAATGGTTGATAGTTTATAAATAGAGCTATAGAGCATTTATTTACTTTTGTTGATAACACTTACTGAACTCTCGACGTTGCCTGACGTCATTGGATTTTTTACAATATTTAGTTAATTAATTTTAATAAAAAATATATTTTGTTACTAAATTATATATATATATATGTATAAAAAAAAAATAAAGAACATTTAGTAAATATACATTTTAAATATTATTTTTTTTAGACAGCCGATAAAACTCAGGAACATTTAAGATATTTAGTAATCAAACCAGATTCTGACACAATGGCATTATCGACTAATTCCCTATTGGATGGATTGGATGAAGTAGATCACATGATGTCCTTCCAATTTGATAACGTATTGGATAACGATTTGTTTTACCACGATGAAGCATTAGAAGCAATGTCCACAATTAAAAGTGATGTGGAGAGGATCGGTGATATGGTATTCGGAAGCTTAAAAACCGAGGAAGATATTAAGCCAGAGATCCGGAATGGCGATTGTATGTGGTCGTCAAATGTTGCCTGTTTGAGCATCGGCAACGCGGCAGCCAACCGTTCTGGTAACAACAGTGCAGCCTCGTCGTACAGTGAAAGCAATGCCTTACCGTTGTCTATGGTTTCTGGCTTCACAAATCCCTATAGTCTATATTTACAATCACAGACGACGGATGGTACATCTGATACCTACAGCCCCATAACCAGCCAGTCAAATAAGAACCAGGTTGGTGGTAATTCCGATAGTATACCAATCATTATGCCGACCATTAAGAAAGAAATCATTGATACGGACTATATGTTCAGCCAGAAGCGCCGGCGTTTGAGTGGTGGCGATAAGAAGTCCCAGATTCAGGACGCAGATCAATTGATACCGCCCGGTGGTAGTCTCCTCCGCAAAAGGAATAATAACCTAACAACATTGCCCATACGCAAAATAGAAGAGCGCTTGAATGATAACATAAATTACCTGAGACCCGATACACCTCATAGTCTTACCGATGAAGTGGCTGCACCAGAATTTAGACATAGTGTAGATTTGCGTGCCTGTGTTATGGGCAGCAATAATATCTCGCTGACCAACGAGGATAATTTCATTAATCAAATTAGCCGGGATCTTCAGAATGGAAAGGATCAGATACCCTCACGTTTCCCTACACCGGCATTAAACGATCTCCTTGATGTGCTCAACCAGCAAGTTAATTCAACAAACAGCCAACAGCAATCGATGTCCAATAGCCTAGATATGGATGAACAACAGCAGGCGATCGATATTGCCACTGGTTCGACCACAGTGACCTCTCCACCGTCGACCGGTTCTGATAGCGATTCGGATGATGGTGAATCCCTTAGCTTTGGACTGCGTCATCATCGCAGTACCAAGACAAGCAACAACAACGCCACCACCGCCAACAGCAGCAGCAACAACAACAGCAGTAGCAACAACAATAACAACAACGGAATCTACATGATGCACATCAGCGATCACAGTTACACGCGCTGCAACGATATGGTGGACGATGGACCCAATCTTGAAACTCCTTCCGATTCCGGTAAGTTTATAACACTTAGCTTTTGTAGTATTTATCAAATTATAAACTCTAGTCAGTTTGTCCGTAATAATCATATCTCATATATTTATGTAAAGTTAAAAAGGGTATTTAAATTTGATATTGGCAATGTTTTTTGTAACAAATATATAAAGTAAATATAACTTTAAAGCCACACCCAGGAATATATATTTATAAAGGCTATCCCGATCTGTGGATTTACAGTTAGCAGTGGTGTTGAAATTTAGTATGCGCATCAACATTGCCACCTACCACAACTACCACTGTTTATTATGGCCCCTTTGTGTAGCGCAATACTAATTATAGAAATAGGATAACACTCATGGGGTGGTCGATTAATTTCCAACCACCTCCACCAGTATTTCCCACACACACACATACACCGCTTTTGGGTGTTGCACATTCAACTAGTGTTCGCACTTCCGTTTCGTGTGGGTGCAAAATAACGCCCAAGCAGGCACACACATAAGTACTACACTGAAAGCAACCGGAAAATCGATCGGCGGAAAACGCCTACGTCAACAGCAAACGTAGTAAACTTGTTACGTTGCACACAGAGAAATAAAAACAAAAAAAAAAAACAGTGAAAAACACGCCCACGCGACGCCGGCGTCTGTCTGCGGTGGTTTTCCATTTTCCATTGATTTTTGTGCTTTTCGCTTGCTTTTGGGCTTTCCTTTATGATTTTTCCCATTTTTACCCCCCGAACTTAACTTTTGCCACCAACAATGGGGAAAATGTTGGCGCGTGGCTTTCATGGCTCATTGTGTTTATTTGTTCCATGTCGTCATCCTCTCTCTTCCGAAAAATCATATCACCCGGGGGATGATGATGTTCTTGCGCAGAACTACGCCCAATATAAAAAATAACCCACCAAAGATATATATATATATATAATATATATATACCTACATATACATATTGGGATATGTCTCTCTCTCTCGGGCCAACACCCCGATTTTCTTGGGTTTTGCTTGCCGGTTTCACTGTTGTGCGATTTTCAAGGATGTCTGGTCACTGGCCACGTGGCAGACAGCCCCAAAATTTTCCTTCCTCCTTGGCGGCATTTTCTATACCCATGGAAATACGAAAATATTGGGTAGTCTAGACTGTATTAAATAGTATTCCTAACACTTCATATTACTGAGTTAAGGAAAACTAATTTTGTTTACAAATATTCAAGCTCTTTCATAATTATTTGTTTTTCATGTTGTAAGTTTTTGTAGGGTATAATTCCAGTCGCTTCCTGACCTTAGTCACTTTTAGCTTCACTTTTTACTCGAGTTCAACGTCTGCTTCTCTCTCATTTTGGCGCGCAAATCGTTATCCATTGAGCAACCCTCGCAAGCTTACGTCACGCCAATAATCTTGATTTTTACTACGTGTTACGCTACAACTACAACTACAACTGCAAACGCGAGTGCATTTTGTTTCTACTACAACTACAATGGCCATAAACATTTACTACTACTATTTTATGGAACTTGTATAAGTGCAAGCTTTTCCGCTTATTAAAAGGCAAAAAAATAAAGTCCCAATTTCTTTTTTTTTGTTAAATATTAAATTGGAATATAAAACATAATAATTTTAGAAAAATTAAAAACCAACACACTTAAAATTTTTGTGGCTAAGAGAAAATGCGATAAACTTGTGACGGCGATTGATTGCCTTTCTTGTTTATTTGCGCGCTCTCTCCTTCTCTGTTTTGCAATTGCCGAGTGCAGTTAAACCAAGAAATTGCAGCAACAACGATTTTTGCACGTTTGTTTTGGTTTTTACGCTTTGCTTTTTTGATTTTCTGTATTTTTTTTTGCTTTTGGGTTGTGTTGTCTGCTTTTGTGTGTTTTTTCGCTTTTGCTTTTGCTTTTGATTCATGTTGTGCTTTTGCATTTCTTGTTGCCAAGCGCTCCACATATTTATTTATTTTTTCCCGCTGCGGAAAAGAATAGAACACAAATTGGAAATAAAAAAAAGTCGTAAAAATGAAGAAAAACGCCCACGGTCTGGTCTAATTTATTTATTTTAATTTTGCGTCGTTCAAAATTAGTTAGAAAGGCAAAAATTCAAATAGAAATTGAAATATGGTACTTAATAGCAGAGCAAAAAAAAAAAAAAAAAAAAAAAAAGAAACCAGCAAATTATCATAAATTGGTGACGAAAGTCACTATAATTTTTCCACTGATAATTTAGCAACTAAAAATCTTGACACAAGTGGTTCGAGATTAGTTACTTAATTTTCTTTCATTTTTTTTTTTTTTTTTGGTATGTATTTCCCCTTGGAAATAGATATAAAAATAGAAATAGGCAGAAGAAACTACTGAAGAAGAAATCAGGTGCGTGCCTCAGATTAGCAAATATATAAGTAGCTAGCCCTCTCTTGCTCACACACACAACTGCGTGACGATTGCGAGAGTGAGATAGCGTTAGCCGAAGGCACGCACTTGTATCAATATCAATTATTTTTCTTTATTTTTTTTCTCTCACTGTATTAGTTAGTGAGGTGGGGTGGGGGGTTTGGCTTTCTTTATCGCTATGCTGCAGTCTTCTAATTAGTATAAAAGCTTAGGCCGTGGGAGCAAGCGAGATGAGGCGTGTCACGTGCGAGCAAGAGGGGTGGTTGGCAACAACGCACAAAATTTGCCAAATAGATAAGGCTTACGGGGGTGTGAGCGAGACACCAGATGGCACATGCCTATGTTGGCGCCTCTATATATATGTATATGTATATATACATACACAAACGTATATATATATATACATTTACATTTTGGTAGTGCGTGTTGGTTTCTGGCATTTCGCACCTTGCGATTGTGTGTGCGGCTTTTTGGAAAAATGTTAATGAACTGAACCAAGGTCAGTCAGTCAGCCGCTGGAAAAAAGTCAAAAAGTGCGTAGAAAACGAAATGGCGGGGGTTGGCAAAAAAAAAAAAAAAAAAAAAACCCACAGAAAGCTAATTTAACTTTTATGGCCAAAAGCAAGTTGGAAAAACAGCGAATTATATCTAGCATTACTTTTTGGGCTTATTTTCGCTTTTCACTCAGCTCTTTAATTTATGCATTTAGAAGAAGTCAACAAGTGAAAGTAAAAGTTTTTCTATAATAAATAATCAGTGAATATTTGAGATTTGTTTATTATTAATATTTATAACTTATTTATTATAAAGAACCCAAAAAGCATAATAGAATAAATCTTAGTATCTTTTAAATAAGGGAGCCCTTTGTAATGGCAAAAAAAACCGCTGTTACCAATGGTCCTTATGCTTGATTCTTTCGTACATATTTCGACGGTTTCTTTCGACTGTTGCTAGGCGTCTTTTTCTCCCCGTCCTTATCTAACATTGTTAGTGCCATCTCCCTCTGATGTACGAATTGCGTCGTAGTTGTTCGTCTTGTTTTTGCTTTATTCGCACACGTGTAGCAATAAATTGTTATGCTCAAGGTCGCAAAAGCGGCGACGTCGGCGTTATAAAATAAAAAAGAAGAAAAAAGACAAAAAAAAAAAAAACAAAAGCCCATAAAGAGCAAAGCTTTTTCCCCCTCTCGCTCTCACGCACTTTGCACAGCTTTATTTATTTATTTTTTTTTTTTTTTTCTTAACAAACGAGCCTCCCTTTTAGCGTTTATGAGAGATTTCCTGTATATACATACTTATATCATATATATGTGTGTATCTACAAATAAATATATAGAAAGAAGAGATGTATCCACGCCCAAGAATGTTGCCAAAAAAAAAAAAGCTCAACTTGGAAATGTTGCCAGACGTTTTTTCTTCATAATTTATGAGCTAGTTACGTTATTACATTAAGGATTCTCCCCCCCGCCCATGCGACATATATTATAGTCTATGATCATCATGACTGATATGTCGCATTGCGACGTCGTGCAACATTAGTCATTATTTCGAAAGTTTTCTAGAGTTTTCTTGCTATCGGAAAAGGTTTGCTTGATGACTCACATCCTGCTTTTCCTCCGATGATGAAATTCCCACTGACTACGTCACAACAACAAAAAAAAAAAAAAAAAAAAAGAGGAAAAGCGAAAAAATCAAATAGGCGGAGGCAAAAAAATAAAATAAATAAGAGGGAGAGAAGTGCAAGAAATGCGCGTGGGAAAAATCTGTCAATGCAGCGGAAGCACTGTTTTTACCGCTATTGCTTCTACAACAGCAGTGGTTAATTAAATATGATTTTGTTTCACTTTAAATTCAAGAAAAGGTAGATCAAATCTATTTAAGAATGTTTATCTGCTTAGTTTTAAAGTAAAATCGATTTTATTATCTCATTGTTTATTCAACAATTTACTCGTGTATGACCCATTTCGTTGGCCATTGGTGTGGCAAATTGCGGTTGAGCGACATGTTGCTAGCAGATGTTGCTGTTGCGGCTGCAATTTCTGTTTCAGTTACCGATGCAGATGCATTTTTTGCTGCAGCCACTGTTGCTGTTTTGTCTCCTTAACCTTTGGAAAAAGTGCAACATTTGTTGCTGTGTTGCAGTTGCAATTTATTTGATTTTCATGCGAAATGCCAACGCAAAAGCATATAGGGTGGTGAGGCGTGGGAAAATTTCAAAAAGTCATGCCCACGTGCTTTTTACATATATGTTGTTTACGTTCTTTATTTTCCCTCGCTTCCAAGAAATTGCAAATTCGTTAGAATTCTTTAAATGTTTGCGATTGTAAACAAATATAAAAGTGCAAGGCGCGAACAAGTCAAATTACTCATCATCCAGCGATGATCTAAACAGTCTGAATGAACTTTCTTCCAAATGTTAATTTATTATTTAAGTATACATATATGTATATATATATATATACTATGGGGATGTGTCAAAAGTCGCAGACGCAGATCAAAAAATAAACAACAACAGGGTTTGTTATTAAACAAAGTCCGTATAGTGCGGTAAATGAAAAGGGGGGTGTGGAAGTCAGTCGGTAGTCTCCGAGAATTTGTTTAATTTTACGACGTGCGCTACAGTGGTTGACTTACAAGTTTCTAAATGAAATTGATTAAGAAAAATGGCAATTGAAAATGTTTAATAATTAACTTTTCATTGCCTAAAAATGAATAAAATTTGAATAATGAATAAAAAGATGATGGTTATGATGACGATGACTAATTCCCTCGCAACATTTTATCTTCAAGTGATCTCAATTTATCCCACTGTATTTTTTTTGCCCAGTTATCGCTTGTCGTCGCTCTTTTATTTTTATATAGGCTTTTTTAAAGAATTCTTGTCTGTATTACATCATTTTGGCTTTGCCTTTGCTTTTGCCATTTCAATTTCGTTTGCCTGACGACGACGATGACGACCCATGGGGTATTTTAACCCTCTTCCATATGATGATATATCTGCAGCATCTCCATCTGCTTGTATATTGATGATGCACTTGTCCCCTTTATTTTCGTTTTTTTTTTCTTCAATATATATATATATATACTTGTCTGCTTTTAGGTCTACCCTTTGAGCTGTCTGTCCGCATCATATCTCACCGTAGTATTCCCCCTTTCCTATGCTAATTTTATAGGGCAAAAGGCGTCTCTATATACATCTATATCTCTGTGCATATATATGCACTTAGTACGTATGCATGGGCAGGAAAAACCCAACCCACCGCCTCCCCCTTTTTTTCTCCCTGCACTAAAGTTGCGCAACATGTGGCGGCTTGTGTGCATTTTATTTGCAATTATAATCAACCGGCAGCTTCCTCTTTGGCATTTTTGATACCCTAAGTAAAAGGGTTACAGACATTTTTCAAAAAAGTTGTTCCATAATCGGATATAAAAAGATGGGGAAGACCTTATCGCGCCTGGAACTCTCTAGCATTCCAAATTTCATCACCTCGCTAAAAAAAAAAAGTAATCTTTTTTTTGTTTCCTAAGATATCTTGATCAAATTTGGTATGTGTTTAGTTAAGGCTAAAATATACACAGCTTTTCCAAGTTCCATAACCAATGCGAAAAAAGGGTATTGAAATGTCTTATAGCCATCCTTTGCCGGCTTTTCTGCTCTCGGCTTTGCTGTTTTTTTTTTTTTATTACGATTTGATCTTGGCTTCGTTCGCTTAGCAACTAAAGTTTCTGCTGTTGTCTCGAATAAATAAAAAAAAAAAAAAAAAGTTGCTTTGTTTGGTCTGTCTGCTTCTTTTACTCGGTTTCTTGTATTTTAATACAGCAAACGAGTTTGTCTGGTTTTTGTCTCTCGGTTTTTTTTTGTTTTTTGTTTTTTAAGTTAGCGAGAGAGCAGAAGAGATGAGATTTATAATGGTATAGAAGAGACAGCATCCGATTTCCACGGAATAACTGTTATCGCAATAGCTTTCGGCTCCCTAGTTTTTATTTTTATTATTATTATTATTGTATCAGAGAGTATCTGTGAATGCACTTTTGCCGGGGTGTGTACCAGATGCAGTTTGCATTTTGATGATAATAAGAAATAAGGGAGGGAGAATAGGAGGATTGCATTTTTGTGTATTTGTTTTTTTTTTTTTAAATCATTCATTCATTGTCTATCGAGAAACTTGGTATGGTTGGGTATCAGTCTGGAAATTCCCCTTTCGCGGTATTGAAATAAAGCTGCTGTTCCCTGGAAATCTCGCTTGACAGTTGTTGTTCCTCTGATTTGTTTTCTTTTGTTTTTTGCATTTATTTATTTTAAGTTTAAGTCGTGCGTCTGTTGTTTATGGCTGTTTTACTAGAATTTAGTTTGAAAATTTCCCCGGCCATGTGTGTTTAATTAAACTATTTTAATTTAGTATTCAATTGATGATTTTATGTTGTTTTTTTTTTATAGGTTTTTATTTTATGGAGTGTACCCGTTTTAGTGTCTATTCTAGTGGCATTCCACAGGGTTTTCTGTCCAGTTCAGAGGGAGTTTCTACCTCATCAACTTGTGCACTTTTTCTTATTTTTATGACGAAAAATGGCCGTCGAAGAGGCTGCCGCCGCAGCAGCAGCAGCAACATTCCAAGATTTTTACGACGGGGGGGAAGAGGAGATATCTTGGTGGTCTGTTGGTTGTCTAGCCAAAGTGGAATGATGACGTTGGCAAAAAAAAAAAAAGAGCGCTGAAAAAAAAATGAATCAAGAACTTGCTTCTTGTGGTGGCTCCTTTTCTTCTCGGTTTTCTTTATCTCTCGATTCTCCTTAAAGAATCTGACTCATGCCCACTCAGGCATTTCTTCAACAGGTTTCGATTTCGTTGCGGTTTCCAGTTGGGGATTTATTTAATGTTTATTTTTCGCCAGTCTCTCCCATGCACTTGATCTTGCAACTTGTTGCACTTGTCAGCAGTCGCAGTCTCACCACCATCTCCTCACCTCTCCTCCGCAATATTCTCGGTTCCTTATTTACCTTGTTGCCAAGCGTAAAGTTTGCTTTTTTCCTTGCTTGCACAGTTGCTTGTTTTAAAAGAGAAAAAAAAAAAGTGTAAAAAAATTATTTGAACAGTTGAAGTCAAAATGAACAAACACCAAAAATTTTTGATTCATTTGAAGGCCAAATTCTTGGTTAATTAAAAAGTATGAAATAATAATGATAAAGTGCATACAAGAGCAAAAAAAAAAATAATTGCAAAGTCTTCTGCGAGTTATTATCGTCAGGCAATTCTTTTTTTTTTTTTTTTTTTTCCAAATGCCAAAGCCCTGCAAATCTATTTCCCTGTGGCAAGTTTAATGACCCTTGTTAAGAATTATGACTTAGGTGGTCGCAGAAAAAAACAATAATATATATATAAGAGGGAAAGGAACAAAAACTGCTAAAGCGGATTAGTGTGTCACCGTTTGGGGGTATAGTTTCTGTTTCTAGATATATATATATATATAGAGTATCCAGTGTATCAGACTTCAGGAAGCAATAGATTTGCACGGATTTTAATTTCAAGTGGCGTCGCGACAGTCAGACGACAACGACGACTACGCCACCGCCGCCGCCGCCCTTTTGTGTTGACGTCATTGGTCTGTCTCCGCCTATTTGTTTTGCCTTCTTTTATTGTATTTTATATGATTTTGCTTTGCCCTGCTTTATTCTTTACTTCTTTTACCCCCAAACATCCCACAACCCCCCCACTTTTCACATAATTCCGCCTGGCAACAGAGAAAGCCGGGGATATATATATATATATATATATATTATAGGGATAGCAAGATAATATTGGTTGGGGGCACAACCCGGAGCAGCTTTTTGCTGTACTACACTCTTCCGTTTCGCTAATTTACCGCTTCCGTTGCGACCATTGAACCAAAGAAGAAGAAGAAGCCAAAACCGGCGCACTCATATACAGTGCGTTGCATAATTATATTGGCATATATTAAAAATATATAGCAAACAACTCATTTCAAGACATTTCGAGGAGCAGTTTTTCATGAAATTATAACAAGAACTTACTTATAAGAAGAAGGGGAATATCAGTCTTCAGTAAAAAGGAATTGAATCGATGAAATGCATTTATAAGAAAAGGATTCTACAATGCAATTAAACAAGAAAGCAGCCAATATTGAATGAATGAAAGGATTTTCCAATCAGAAACTTGTATAATCATACATACATATATAATACACATCAACCATCCATCAATCAAGAAAACACCTTGCTAACCACAACACTTTTTCTACTATCCCCCATGCAGATGAGGAAATCGATGTGGTCTCGTACACGGACAAGAAGCTGCCCACGAATCCCTCGTGTCACGTTATGGGCGCCCTGCAGACCAAGATGGCCCACAAGATATCCATTGATCACATCAGGCAGAATCCGCGCTACAACACCAACTACAATCTGCCGTACACGCCGGCCAGCAGCAGTCCCGTTAAATCCGTAGCCAACTCTCGCTACCCATCGCCATCGAGCACTCCTTACCAGAATAGCTCATCTGCTTCGCCATCCTATTCGCCGCTATCCATGGACTCATCAAATGTCAGCTCTAGCAGCTCCAGTTCCAGTTCGCATTCGAGTTTCACCATCACCAATCCGAACACCAAGGGACGCAAGCGAACGTGCCTGAAGACACCAGGAGGTGGAATCACCTCTAGCATGGTACTGCCGGGTGGTGGCATGCAAAACAACAACGCCATGATGACCAAAAAGTGTCGCGGCAAGAAGCTGGTTAACTCTTCGGCCTTGTCTTCGGGCAGTATATCACCGATTTCGGGTGGTCAGGATACTGATCCAATGGATCGCAACTGGCAGCGACGCAATGGCGGAAGCAATGGTATGGCTTCCAGTGCCAGCACAAGCAGCAGTGTCCTCCGGAAGGACTTTGTTTTGGGTTTGGACGAGGCTGATACGATCGAGAAGCGTAATCAGCATAATGATATGGAGCGCCAGCGTCGCATTGGCTTAAAGAACCTCTTTGAGGCTCTGAAGAAACAGATCCCCACCATTAGGGACAAGGAGCGGGCTCCGAAAGTGAATATACTGCGCGAGGCGGCCAAGTTGTGCACTCAACTGACCCAGGAGGAGCAAGAGTTGAGTAAGCAACGCCAGCTGTTGAGCATGAAGCTCAAGCAGCAACAGGAGATCCTTGCCCGCTACAAGCTGGTGAAAACCGAACCGCACTCCTCGGTCAGTGGATAGTGTTGTCTCGTACTATCGGCTTAAGGCGGCGGCGTAGAGCTAGGTACCTCATAGTAACCTAATTTTTCTTTTTTTTTTTTTTGGCCTTGATTTTTCTTTTTGATTTACCTTTGATTTGATTCGTTCTTGACCTTAAGCCTTTGATATATATATATATGTAGAAAATAGGATTTTTTTTTCTGTGGAGAACTTCAATATCAGCTAGTAGGTTATATAATATATTTAAAGATTTGCTTGCTTTTTTTTTTTTTTTTTGTACCATTCAACAGGGAGGGAGAAGGTGTAACTCTACCCATCTCTCTCTACAAGTGATTTAACAAATTTTATTTGTTTAATGTGATATATAATATGATTTTCTTTCCGCGCGAATCGATTTGGCATGGAAATTAACGAGAACCGGTTTTATGGAATCAAGATGAAGTGTTTTTTTTTTCGCTGCATATATTAAAAATTACACTAGGATTAGACTTAAGACTTAGGTTTTAGGTAGGGGGGGGGTCCCTGTATATATATAATATAACATTATTCTTTAGGTTATATTATAATTATTTTTTTGAATTGGCTACTTAACCATGAAGTAAACAAAAAAAAAGTAAGGGAAAACATGATTAACACAACAACTACAAAACAAACAAAAATAAGGACAAAGAACCAAACAATGAAAACTGAAAGTAAAAGTGAAGAAAGATAGAGATAGAGCATAGAAAGCGAGCGAGCGAGAGAGATAGATAGAAGAGTGAGGAGAAATACAAACAAACAAACAAACAAACAAACGAAAAGGGAAACACAAAAAGAAAAACAAAAACAAAAACGGATACGGAAAACAGACAAAAGTTACAACGAAAGAGCCACAAAGAGGAGATAGATGGAGCACACAAAATCGGAAGTGAGAGAACGATGATGGAGAGAGATATATAGGAATATATTAGTATAGCTAAAAGTAGAATTTTTGGTTATAAAAAAAAAAAACAAATACCCGAACACACAAAATGGTTCCAAAAAAAAAAGTACTTCTTGACGAAGCAATAAGCGGGAACCCTATATAATTCGACCCTGGTTGGCTAGTTTTACCTAGAAGAACTACTAACCACTTTATATAACTATGGGTAAACATTTTTTACATGCGCTTTTGAGTCCTATATCTTTAAAGAGGCGCGCATCCTTGCAGCAGTAAAACCCCAACCTACTATATCTGCATGAATCACCTTAATGCTTTTGCTTAGAAACCCAGATATCCCAATGCTATAACCCATTTATATAAATATATGTATATTTATATATATATATATATACATATATTTATAGACCTGTTAAATGACGCGAAGAAGAAAGGGAAAACGCTTTTTATATAGTTAGACCCCAAAAACAAAACAAAATAACTTGAACTCTACTGCCTATATTGAGAAAATACATTTTATTTGCTATGAAGATTCAAATATGAATACAGTTATATAAGTGTACATATATAGGAACCTTTTTACAATCATTATCTTTTACTATATATATATATATTTTTTTTTGCTAGGTATATATATATATAAATATATATATTTTTTAACTGATAACTATGCATATGAAATGCGCAAAACTTAACGAAAACAAAACGGAATTAAGAAAACTTTAAACTATTTAATAGTGCTAAATCTAAACGAAAACCTCTCTTGAATAGCTGATATATATATATATATATATGAATATAAATATTAATAAGAAGTGAGAGAGCGAAAGAGTGGAGAAATTGGCTGCAAAGTTTGTGATTGGAGTTTAGAGAGATATATACACCCACGACCCAAGACCCAAGAGAACTCAAACTTTTGTGAGCTGTTTAACTGTCGATTTTTTGCTAATAAGTTATGGCCTCTCGGCAATATGTTATAATATAGATATATATATATGTATGATAAACGATTATAACAATTGTTTACACGCATCTAAATATCAACTAAAAATAACTACTACTAAACTAAAGGACTTGGAGGATAAATTAAGGGAATGCGAATGAAGTTAAATTAGCGCATGATGAGAGATGATGTGAGGGAGGGAGGTATGTAGGAGGGAAACACGAACGCGATTCTATGGAAATGTCAACTGTTATTTAGGTTTAGAAACAGAAAAACACACATGATATGATGACCAGAAATTGAATTAGACGGCGGGGGGGTAGAGGTTATAAGTGTATAAAACTATATACATATATACATATAACTCGCAAATTTCTATAGTTCATAGGGCGTCGTTTCAACGACATTTTTTGTGAGTTCTAGGCTAAAAATACTTACCATACCGAAACCCAAATAAACATATATATATATATATATATATCCTACATATATATTCATTTTTGTTTTCTACTAGCTTTACATTTGAGCCCATGAATTATTTTTTTTTATCTTATACTTTCCTTTTTTTATTACGCCGCCGCAAAATTCTTTTTTTTTAAAAAAAACTACTTAACTTTCTTTTTTCATTTTTCTTTTGAATATTAAAAAAAAACAAAAAACTACACTAAAAACGAAAACTTGTTAAATTGGAAAACAAAATATTTCATATGCGTGGACAAACAAATAAAAAGTATATTTTTGTATTGTTTCGACGAAAAATAAAAAAAAAAAAAAAAAACAAATAAAAATGTGTACACATTGTAAATAGCAATCTCGTTAAATAATAGTTACACACGCCTACAAAATAGCGAACCCAAAACCTAAATGATGGAATTATTTTTATAGAAAACACACAAAACACAAAACCCGGAGAGAAAACACAAAGCAATAGACTTAAGCGAATTGTACAACGCGATACGAAAACAAAACTTCAATAAACCAACAAACACACACACACACACACACACAATATATACAAAATACACATAAACACATACACACGAATGCACCTATTTTCCTATAGTACATACAACAAGAAATAGTTTAACAAAACACAAAAAGATGAATGATGTATAAACCTTGTTTTCTTTCTATAATTTCTACAAACAAAAACAAGAACCGTACAAATTTACGATACAAACAAAAACTAAAAGAAGAAAACAAATGACAAGAAACAAAAAATACGAAAAGCAAACATTTTCTTTGTTTAGTCCTTTAAAAATAATTTATTTACGAAACAAACAAATTCAAGTGAAAGCATTTTTAAGCATAATTTTTTTTATTGCAAAAATATATATAAATATAAATATATATATATATATTAATACTATGACCAAAACCAAAATCCTCGCAAACAAAACAAAACAAAAAAAAAACATTGAACTTTTTTTTTTCTTATAAAATACATTTATAACTAAAAAAAAAAAACAAACCATTTTTAAGTTTTCATATATTTTTATGATTATGAAATTTTTTTATATTATACACACAAACTACTATTTGAATTAGTTGTTAAAAATTTATTATTAAACAAAAAAAAGAAAAATGATTTGAAGAAAAATAACAAATGTAAAAACTTGTGTAAAAAAAAAATGTGAAAAACTCATTGAAATGAATGCAAAAAAGAAAAAAAAAACTGTTAACACACTGAACGCAAAAAAAAAAAAATGATGAAACTATAGACGAACATACTGATTGAATTATTATATGTATATTTAAACTTTTAATTTTTTTTTGGCATACGTTTATGACTATGTATTTGAAAGTCCTATATTTTTGATTTGATAACAAAAGAAGTTATGAAAATTCTGTTTACTTTGGTTATTGCTTAATAAATAAATATGTGTTAAAATCGAAAATTAATAAAGATATGACTTGCGAATCAAGCTATATATATATATATATATATCTAATAATTTTTAACTCGTTATGTAGTTACCTATTAATGAAAAACAAATTGAAAGCGAAAAAATGAGAAAAATAAAAATATAAAAACACAATAAATTACATTTTATGTACCTTTTACATATATATATATATGTATATATATATATATATATATATAAACTGTGTATATATAAATATATATTACACACAAAACACACACACACACACACTACTATGTATAGAAACAAAACGTTTAAATATATATTTTTTTTCAAAATTTATGATAATGGAAATTATACAATAAAAATATTTCAACATACCAAGAAAGAAATTAATTTTGATTTTGTTTTTTATTTCTGCGCTTCTGATTTTTCGATTGGTTTTTTTGTATGCTATTTAAGCTTCTGGAAAATGTGCAACTTTGTTGCAGTTTTTTTTAAATGTATTTCAAAAATATTTTAAAAATTATATTCATTATCTTTAAAAGGTATAATATAATTTTTTCTGGAATATATTTTTATATTTTTTTGAGTTGCCACTATAAATCAGCAAAATATTAATATTTATTTTCTATTACAACTTTTATTTTCACTTTCGTTTTCCAACCGCAAATATCTAATTCCCAGTGAATCATTTAAAGTGATTCACATTTTGTGGGTGGCGTTGAGAAAATTGCTTTTGTCGCCGTTTCTAATCAAGCAGTTCAACGATTTTTTTTTATTTTTATTTTTTGCCACATTTTGCCTGGGGTGTCTCTGCCACACCCCCGTTGCCTACCAGACAAATTAAGTTAATTCAATCAAAGTTGCTTCTGCTGCTGTTGCTGTTGCTGTTGTTGTTATTGTTATTATTGTTGTTTTACCGGCAAAATTTTTAATGAAGTCAAAGCGACAACAAAGCAAAAAAAAAAAAAATAAAGAAACAGAGAAGCCGGCCGGGAGACAGTCACCGCCAAAACAATAACAACGATCACGATAGCCATAAAATAACATATCATTTATACATGTTTTGTTTTCGCTTTTTTTTTTTTGCGCTTTATTATTTTACTACAATCATTCAGTTTCGGTTTGGTTGGTTGCTTGTTTTTTTTTTTATAATTTTTACTTCGTAAGTGAATTGAGCTGCAAAAAAAAGTAAAAGATGAAAGGAAACATTTTGATGGGAGCCGAACGACTTAAATGATGCTCTTTTTTAAGTATATTTTGTAAATGTTTTATTACAAATTATGTTGTTTTATCCTGTTGAAGTAACAAAATATTTTAAACAAAGTGTGGCTTTATATGAGGTTTATTAAGCAAATTATTATTTTTATTATTTGAACGGAATGAATATGAAGGGTTATTGAATATTTGCTTTAATGTATTAAATTTTTATCTAATTAAATTAAGATTTTAATGATTTTTACTGATTTAAAATTCAACTTTTCTGTTTATTGTTTATAAAATTAATATTTTTTATAACGCCGAGGCTCATCCGACAAGTTGGCAAAGCCCTGAAAATTGAAAGGGTAGACAGATAAGTAGCCGGCAAATTCGCACACATACAATGAGGGCGACGGGCGAAGCAAAACAGAGACAACAAAATTGGCGTGCACAATTGTTTAACTGCAAAAAAAAAAGCAGAGAAAAAAAATCAACAAAAAATGGCAAGCAACAATTTTTTTTTCGTGTTTTTTTTTTTTTTTTTTACACTCTGACCGCGGTCGGTCGCTTTATTGGGTGAAGGTCACGCCGGCTGCGCTGCGACTGCGTCTGCCTTTTGTTTTTATTTTTATTTTTATTCAATTTTTTGTTTTTGGTTGCTGCCTTTTCTGTTTATCTTTAGTTATTTTGGTTTTTATTTTGGCGGCCTGCTTTGCGTTTTCTTTCCAGAAGAAAAAAAGTCAACGGGAGTTCTTTACTAATTTGAGTTAAATTATACAATTTTTATCAACTCTATTTAATAGAATTATTAACATTAAAATCTTATTTAAAATTCTATAAACCATTTATTTCCACACTTTAAGCTTTTAAAAAATAAAATCTAATCTACATTTATTAAGCAAAAATGTATCATTAATACTTTTTGTAAAGTTTGTTATTGCTTGTTTGTACAATGTTACATTTTCTATTACTTCGAAGTTTGGGATAAAAAATTCTAGTTTAAATGTAATTTCAGTTAGGTAAAAAATATGTTTATTTATTATTACAATGATTAATTTACTTACCGCTTATTAAGTTAATGAAATGCATTTGGATTTTAGAATATGAAAATCACATTTTTCTCAACATCATTGGCATTTCAATGAATCGGGGACCATTATGATGAATAATTTTGATCCAGTTTTGTATATTATTTATGACACGATCGAAGCTTCTAAAAAACACAATTCAGTATAATAAAGTTTTAAACATTAAAATGTTATGTACCAAAATTGCATTTCACAAGAAAACAAATTTGTATATATGTACATATATTAAGAAATATATTTATATAAAGTATGAATTTTGTTAATTAAAGTTTTCAATAATTTTTTTTAAATAGAAAGAGTTAGTAAAACCCTTTTTTGGACCAATTTTTTGATTTTTTCCTTATTGCTTAATTTATGAATTTAATGCCTTTGCCAAAAAGCGCCATTTATTTCGCTTAAATCATTTATTTTTGCTATTTTGCGAGAATATTATATGTGAAGTTATTTCTGTCGCTGTTTTAGCGTATATTTTGGTTAATTTATTGCCTAAATTTGATTTGAGAACTGGAAATTTTCTGGACTTCGAGGTCGTTCTACACACACACACACACACATACCTACAAAAAACACTCACACACACATACAACGCAAAGGCAATGCAGAATCAAAAGTACAAAATAGTCATAGAAACAAGACTGTAAATAATGACAGAATGGAAATTAAACCAAAATTCCAAAAAAAAAAAAATAAAATAATATGTTAAAGCCCATAAAATCCCAAAAGATAATAATAAAAACAGTTACTGAAATCTGCTTATATAAACAGCTTTAAACTAAAAACCAGGAAAATACATTCAACAGGCTTCAATAGTTAAACTAAAAAAAAAAGAAAATGAAAAGAGTGAAGACAAGAGAACGTTTGTAAATTTTGTATTTTTTTGAAAGTATTTAATAAATGTGTTTTACATGCATATTATATATACATAAAAAATAACAATATAATAATGAATTACCAATTATTTGAAATAAAAAATATATATATTATATAATATACACCAGATACTTATACATTATTCAAAATTATATATATATATATTTAGAAAGCAACAACAAATTATATATATATATATATATATATCTATCTTAAATAAATAGAACATTAACAAATTTGTAAGAAACCGAGGCGTATACGTAATGAAACAACAACAAACAATTTGTCAGGACGAAAGGAAGAGCTTAAGAAACAGAAATAACTTTTGTAAGTAAATATTAAACAGAAGAAAAAATTGAAAAGGATATGTGGAAAATGTGGAGAAAGTTAAATAAAGAAAAGCGCAGCGAAGAGCCCACACACAGACACAAAAATTTCCTGACTTTTAATTGGGTAGAACTTTTCTGAACTATTTTAAAGTTTTATTAGTTTATTAGCTTAGTTATTAAACTATTATACATCCCCTGTGTTAACTTTATATTGTGATTAACTCTAAAGGATCTCATTTTGCATAAGTATATAGCCATACATATAGTCGCTATCTGGTTCTCCTGTCAGATTTCTTTCTTCGGTGGACAGATGCATTCGAAGGCGTTGCCCAGGGGCCAGCTGTAACTTTTTTCCCTTATATTGTTTTCTTTTTTTTTTGCTCTTATGTCCGGGGGTTCGAATGTCACATAACTGGTCTGAATGGATGAGGATATAAGGCCAGGCCATCTCGTTAAACTTTCAACGCACTGGCCTGGCCCTTCTTGTGCGTGCTTTTTTCTTCTTTTTTTTTTTTTCTTCCTTCTCCATTTAATTATGTATAGATTTCGGTGGCTTGCAGCTTGCGAGATGTAAGCAACAAGGGGTTACGGCACACGGAGAGAGGGATTGGACTGGGGTTGCAAACAGGTGCAACTCGTCGTCGATCGATGAAGTTAACAGTGTTGAAATGATGGCGAATTAACAAAATGCACTAACTAGGGTTAGGGTTTATGTTCCATGACTATAAAGGTATAAGATTACAAATTTTAAAAATTCTAAAAATGCGAATTTTATTTTGCATTGTTTGTATGTTTGATATCAATAATAAAAATATTTTCTATTTACATTTTTTTTTTTTTTTTATATTTAATGTAAAAATGAATTTTTAATATCACAATATTATGGCTAAAAATCTATAATTACACACAAATTTCTTTGAAGATCATAAAAGAAAGCTTAGAAACCTACAAATCATATGATATACAGAGCTCGATAAGTTTTGGTTTGCCAGAATGAAGAAAGGGTATATCCAAACGGTGACAGCCGGTAAAAGCAAAGGGCATCGTGTACACTGATTAGGGCAAGATGGTGTGCGTGCCGCCGCCGCCGCCAACTTAATTGGGCTTAATGCAGGTTGAGCTGCAATTATTATGCTGGCCCTGCACCTTTACTTAATAATGACATTCGGCGGCAACCCGGTCCGCATCAATGATCCGCAGCAAATGGTCAACGTGCTCGATGAGCGCCACCTCGAACACGCTCTTCACGCAGCACACCAACCCCAGGAAAGACAAGTGCAGGATCAGCGAGAGTATCGTCTGTACATTAATGACCAATCGTCCTGTAATCACCTCGAAGGACCACATAAGCCATTCCATGACCTGGATAATGCTATTGACCAGGATCCAAGGCGTCATTGCGTGTGGTGATATCTAATTTGATAAAATTTAACAGACTATTATAGAATCAAGTAATGCTTTGCATACCCACCATTATAATGCCGTAGAATAGCATTAACCACGAGATCGCATTGATGGTGTTGCCGATGAACCGGACTCTACGTAACAGAGAGTAATTCAGAACGTAAAAGTTTCGCTGGCGCCACATGGATAGCTTGTTGCCACAGCCACAGTGCCATAGATTCCACAGATCGATGCAATGATGCACCAATCCAAATAGACTTATTAGAAACACAAGCCAAAAAACAATTGGAAAGGATTCGGTACGGCACAAAGTGCAGGATTGTACCATATTTAAGATTTGGTTCCAGCTATTCAGTGGGCAAAACTTCCAGATCGAGTATTTCCTGTAATCATGGTAAAATATCTTATCCAATAACCGGCTGAAAAGTCCGGTAATAAACCTAATCTTGAACATTTTCGTCTTGAGATTTGGTAAAATAATTTGTTCCACGCTCAAATGATTTTTATTTATGGTAGTTAGGCATGTAAATTATGTTCTCTGATCTGTGTGACAGTTTTTCAAAAGCTGGCCATCGGTTAGATAATTTAAAATATTATTATTTTTTAAAATTTTACTCAAGAAACTTCTCTTTTCGGGAGAATTTATGACACAGGAAATACATTTTATGGATGCCAGAGGTTAATATATATTTAATACTTAGACCGTCGTTTACACTATTTTTGTTGTAAACCATATAAAATTGTTGAAAGTAGCAAACTGGAACAACTTGAGTATGCCACAGGCGTTCCATGACCACTACCTGTTGCGATAGTTACGCCCGATGCTGGTCATTATCTTAAGCGTTTCTAGGAACTATATACATATACATCTCTATATATATTTAATGGCGCCTCCCACTCTTTTCTTCTTAGCTCGGTGGGAATCTGCAGACAAAGAGGAGGTCGTAGGTGAAAGTGCCATAAAAATGCGACATCCTGTGCATTGCCATAAAAGTGCATGTTGGATCGTAAGAACAAAGACGATGGTAATGGGTAGCCTTACTATTTGTCAACCCTTAACCCCTGAGACTACCTGTCCGAGTTTCGCTGGCTGTGTGTATGTATGTACATATCTGCAGGTGTTTTCCCGGCCGGAGATGAATCAGCTAACTGAGTGAGTACTGAAAAATTGTTATTATTATTGAAATGCCCCCAGACCCTGCGACACTTCGCCCCGAGTATATCTTTGTCGAGGTAATTGCCCACCTTGGACAGAGTAAAGTTGGCTTTTAATATGTAATTTAAAATATTGAAATCATTTTAACACATAGGGTTAAGAATTATAATTTTCTAAATTTGGAAAAAAAGGAAAGAAGAGAAAGGGAAAGAATTTATTTAAGTTTGAAAGAAAACAAACGAAAACGTAATAGTTTAATCTTTGTAAAGAAGACTTGTGAGTATTTCGCTTATTTAATTTATCAAAAGTTATAGATTGCAAATGTTTTCTTGCAGTGTATAGATAGTTTTCTTTACTTTTGCTGTCTGACTAATTCCAGAAGCGAGATCACCCGCTTCTTAAATCCCTCCCCGTCGGTTTTATTTGCTTAATAAATTTTTCTATTCGCCATCGCATCGCTTACGGTTTTAATGACACTTTGTTTTGCTTGTTTAATCATTTTTTCTTCCCTTTTTTTTTTTTTGCCGCCCTTAATTTATTTAACTTTTTTCACTAAGCTGATTCATGCGGGTTGGCTATGTATATAGAAAAGTATATGTATATATAAGAACCCTCTCAATATTCAATGAATTCAATATTTCATTGATGACTAGAAAACGTTTGCCATTGTGTTGACTCAAGCGAGACAGAATTGTTAGGTTTTAAGGTCTCAGAGGTCCGTTGGATTTTCCATTTGTCACGACTCCTGGTCAATTGAAAGGTCCAAAACGAATGTTTCTAGGCAGTATGACAAGTGCAATTTGGACCAAGAAAGCGTTTCCTGTCGCATGAGGCATTAATATAAGTCGACAAGCATAAAGGATGAGAATCCATCACAGCATTGAAAGATTCCAATTTCAATTCCAGTGAAAGCACTCTTCTTGGCAGCAAGGATTCATCCTGACATTTCTGGGCATTTGTTTTACATTTGAACTGCAATTTGTATTGCATTTGTCTGGGAAATTGGCTGTTGGCTCTTTGTAAGCCATATTGTTTATTGCTGGTCATCAATATAAAGTCAAGTTGTTTTTGAAGTTATAAAACAATACATGTCCTAATAAATAGAAACCGTATCATTTAGGGATATAATTATAGTCTATTTAAAGAGATTTTATTAGGTTCTTAACCCACTTAAAGTTACTTTTTTTATACCTAAAAACCCACCACTTATTATTGGCTTAAGGATAACCCACAGCTGATGTCTCTACATCGAAAACAGGGCGTGCCGTTTAATTTCATTTACCGAAAGTTAGTTAAAGGGCAATTCCTTTAAAACACTATTAATCAATATTATCTACAAACCCCTTTTGAGACGCGTATATGGATAAAGTTTTGTAGAACAAAAAAATAAAAAAAAAAAACAAAACCCAAAATTGCCCAACTCCCAAACTCAAGACCATTAATCATAATGGGATGCCAGCTGAGGAAGCATTGGCAATATAAAATCGAAACCAAATTGATACACTGCTTAAAGGTTTTGTATTTTGGTAAAATCGATAAATTATAAATTAATATCAACATTACATGATAGATCCAAATATTTCTATTTATATAAATGAAAGCAAAGAGTTTATGGATCTTTAAACTAAAATCTTTACTTTCCTTGGAAAAAAAACCCACTGTCTTATGATTTTCTTCCTGTGTAAACTTATTAAAAAAAATATACGCTCTATGGGGGCGTGTCATGATCTATAGTCCCCGTCAGAATTTCGCCATATTCGCAATGGCAATCATCTTAATTCCTTGTGCCTAGCAACACGAACAAAAATTTTCCGCCAACAAAAAATCGTTTTCTCTCAGTTTTTTTTTTTTCTAATTCAAGAAAAGGTGTTGGCGGCATATTTAAAACATAGAAAATCGTGGAGGAGGTTGTATTATATAGAAGATGGAAACCGTTTGCTGTTTCCCATTATTTTTATCGCTTTTTTTTTTTTGCTCATCCAAAATAGATTTGACCTATTTTCTGCACGTTCCGTCAATTCCCCAATTCCTTTACTTTTTTTCCTTTCTTTTTTGCTTTTTCTTTACTTTTTTTCCTTTCTTTTTTTTCTTTTTCTTTTTTTTTGCACACCGTCTTCTAAGTTGTGATGGTTTATATTAAAATTGTACAGCGTCTAATAAATAAACGAAAACTTCTTCTTCTTTTGACCAATCAAATTGGGGAAACCGTTGGGGTTCTAAGGTATATAAGGTTTTTCACATCTATAAATCTTAAATCGAAGCCGTTTCCCGGGAAAGCGGAAAGATAAACTAAGTACACTTTACATTTCGATAAAAGTCTACATTCAGGAACATTTTTTCGTTGCTTTGGTTTATTTTATGTTTTTTATTTACTTTAATTACAATATTTAAAATAATTATTTTGTCTTTTAAGACAGAACTTATGTAGTTTCTTTTATTTAAAAATGTAATAAATACAATCTTTTAGGATATATTTTATTCGAACCATTCGAGAGTCGTACTAAAAATTTAGTTAAATAAAATGCGTTGTTTCTTTTGGCGGCTTCTAGATTCTATTTAATTTTTTTTTTTTTTTTTTTTTTTTTTGCGCATATATTCGCTTAAAGCGCGTACAAAAATAGCGCCAACGTGCCGAGGGGAAAAATTAGAAATGCGAAATTAAATAGATATAGAATGGATACCGTTTGGGTGGGGTGAGGATGGGGGCTATGCGCCCAGATCGTACAATATGCAAACATTAAAACATACGTATAAAAAATAAATAGAAGCCGTCTTGAATAAACACACGGATGCCCGTCACACGCGCTGAAATAGCGCTAGAACATTATTTTTAGCTAAACCGAAAGATACAAGACCGAAGACGTTGAGATAGATATGTATATATATATATATATATATACATAGATACAGCTAAAGATTTGGATTTGGATATAGATTTGGATTTGTATTCAGATTTGGTTTTGGAATGGTTTTGCCTGATGGGAGGAAACAGGGCCATTAGCTAATCGAAGGGCCAAGCGGATTAGCAAGGTACTATCCATATGTCTGCGTAATTGCCACCACAGCTGGCCGTCCTGCAAAATATACAAATGGTATCTCATGTACACTAGAGATGAGTGCGTGAAATGTATTTAGGATGTTTCTTAAATATTTCAAGTACTAACAATGTCAATATTAATAGATAACTATATGTAACAAGATTAAAAGTTTTCATTAAATGGTCATTGATTTGTATAGATAATAAGGGACTTAAGAATAATATTTCTGGTTATATATCATCTTTTTGATAACGTTGTGAAGTTGGTTATATACAAATCTAATATACTGCGTGACCTAAATTAAGCCCACCACTCACGCTCCCATCACTAAATGTAAATGGCAAACGAAATTTGTCTTTGAACTTCGTTTATTGCATTTGCAGCCACAAGATACGATTTGTGTATTATGCTCATTACAACAACCCCTGGCCAACGGCGACAGTTGGATGATTTGAGGGGTTGATGTCGAATGGGCATATCAATCAAGCCATCAATCAATCAAACCGCACACTGAGCCAAAATGTTGGCCCAGAAGATTTACGATTGGTCATAAATGTTTTTAAAACAAAACATATGTGTGCGCGCCTATATTTTCCAGGAAATTTCCAATTTTCCCTCTAATGCAACTTAAACCCCTTTCGATTCGAAACTACGTATGTATGTATATATATATGGATATTTCCTTCAGACAAAATACATTCAATCGAAAGGCAGAAATGAAATTTTATTCAAATTACCTTGGCATTGTATCGAGGTATTATTCTTTTTTGTGTTAGAACTTTTCAAATCGGTTCATTGAAAAGGGGTCAAGTTAATGGGAATATATTTTAAATACTCGATTTCCTGGCTAAATCGATTAAATTAAATATTTCATTGTTAAATTAGAATTTAGAAATAGAAATCATCGTTGTTTTCTTTGATTTTATTAAGTTAACATAAATTATAGAGTTATTCTACTAAAATATCATTTTTAATCCAATCATAAACAAAAAACCCAACCACAAATAAGATCAAATCGCCCGACAGTTTCACTTTCACTTTCAATTGAATGAAATCGATAGCCGTTTCGGTGGCCATATCAATATCCTGGCCATTTACTGATCGACTTCCGTATCGGTGGCATTGAAATTGGGCCATATCCCATTACAAAGGCTTAGAATCCGATCTGGAGCGTTTTCAACTACCTGATCTTAATCTGGCTGTTGTTAATTGGGATCGCCTGGGATCACCTGGGATCGCCTGGGATCTTTGAGGCTTCGACTGCTGCTGTCACATTACACAGTTCAGTTCGGTTG